GTGTGTGTATGTACGTGTGTGTATGTATGTGCGGATACAAATTTTCGTCGACGATTTCGGGAACACGGATCAACCGATTTGAATAATTCAAAAAACATTCGAATTGTATTGATAAGGAGACGTGCTGATTAGTTTTTGGCGAAGGCAGGTCTAGCCGTTCCGAAGATACGGGGCAAAAAGTGCCGAAAACGGTAACTCAGTTTTCAAGATAACGGAGCTTCCGATTTGAATAATTCAAAAAGCATTTCACTTGTATTGACAAGATGAAGAATCGATAAAAATTTCATAAATGTAGGTTTAGCGGTTTCGGAGATATGGAGGAAAAAGTAAAAAAATGAGCCATTTGACGGTCAAAAATGATCATTAGACATATGCACATCAAATTATCAGATATTTTATAGAGATTTTAACAATAAGTATACATTATGTTAACATTTCTATGGGTTTTGTACCAATGCTTATGCGTTAGACAGCGACGCGGCGCTTACGCGCTTTATATTTTGTCCCTTTGCAGTTAAAGCAGTACGATTGCTTTGAAAAAAAAGTTCAGATCTTCCACAATATGTCAAAATAAAAAAAAAAAATTATTTTCAAAAAAAAAAAAAAATTAAAAATATTTTTCTTTTTTAATTTTTTTTTTCAAAAAAAACTAATTTTTTGTCCAATTTATAGTTTCTCAAAAATCTTATTTTTTCAAAGTAATTTTTTTTCAAAAATGTTAATCGTTTTTAAAAAAATAATAATTTTTGGTACGGGAAGTTCCAGCAATTTGCCTTAAGGCACGATGCCTTAATTGCCTTAAGACAGAATTCCACTTACAGCTAGTTTCCCAGTTAGAATTTCCCAGAATTTATCGAAAAATAGATAGTATTATATGCAAGTCCGGGGTTAAAAAAGTCCACCACCAGTGTGTCAAAAAGCAGTAATGTTAAGCATTGTTTAACAACAATATTTGAAAGTAGAGGGAAAAGACGTAAAACCAGATATAACCTTGATTCTTACGACTTTGCTATCGGGAGATAAACGGTAATGTTTGAAAAGCCATAATAAAAATATTTTCTTCCGTTGGTAGTTTTTTATCATTAGTTAAAAGTGTAATTATTTTGTGAAACACCTTTGAAATTAAAATAAGACAGTAAACATTTTTGCCACCTGGCCGTTTCATTTAACCCATATGAAACTAAGAGGTAAAAAGGTCTAGATAACAAATTTTTGTGAGACAACAAAAAAGCACATTTCTACAATGATGAAGTAGCTGGCAGTTTTGCTGAACAAAGTCAGATAATTGTTCGTTTGAGATATATTATTTGTTGTGATATAATTGGTTTGATTTTCATAATATAGTTTAGAATTGCTCAAAGTCAAATTTGACCTTTGTGCCTCGCTCTGCTCTACATATATACTTTTTATCAAATTTACCTTAATTCATCGAATGTTACTTGAAACTTATCAAAAAGCAGGTCAAAAAAGAAATATTTAATTCATTTTTTATTTCTTCTCGCAGAAATTTGAAAATTTTGTATAAGCTCAGTAGTATTATTTACAATTATACACAAAATCCAAAATCCAAAAAGAATCTGAAAAATTTGAAACGTAATCAATAAGCCGAAAGACCAAAAAAGATTTGGTTTGGATTAAGCCATGTTTTCTATAGAAAGTGTATAAAACTTCCAGTTTGATTGTATTAACAAAATATAGACAAACTAATGGGGTTTAACACAAAACACATCCTTATACACTTAAAGTATTAATATTTTTGATTCTCTAGAAATTGTTAAGAATATAACTTATTTAGCAAAACAACGTTTGCCGGGTCAGCTAGTATATAATATATATACCAAATTATAAAAACAATTTTTTATATGCCAAAAAAATAATTTTTTGGCATATACTCTCTTAGGTTTTTCCTACTTAAGCATGATTTAGTTATTTTCATGGTTTATAAGCAATAAGACAACGATCACACAACGATCTTTACATAGAATTCATAAAAATAAACAGTGTTCAACATTTTCAAAAACTGGAACCTCATTCAAATTCAATAGTCACTCAGCTTCTTGAGACACCAATTTCAAGAAGACTGAAAGAAAGAAGATGTCCAAAGATAATATTGAAAACCTTTAGCACTACTATATCTTTGTAGATATGAACAGAATTGGTGAATCACTCGTTGGAGTGATCCTCCAACTATCGATATAGTAAAATTTATCACAATAATAATAATGTATATGTGTGTCTAAAAGTGTGTGAGTGAATGATATAAGCCAAATAGCTCATAGGATTGTACTGTATTCTGATTGCTGTTGAAAATACAAAAAAATATTTATGCGGAAAATTAACGAATATATCATTTAATTCTGTAGTTATTGAACCAGCAGTAAATCTCCACGGCACCAGAAAATGTAACAGCGACGGCGTATATTCTAAGCATTGAGGACAACTATTTTGCAATTAGGAGCCGAAGAAGAAAATCAACAAAATATTCCAGGTTATGTCAGATCAGGTGAATATAATGAAATTATTTGATTCATCACACATATTGAAATCTCGGAGCAAGAAAAACTGCCGGGCAATCAGGTAACCAGCTGCAGTGTATTGTTTCTGCAATGGATATTCTTCTTATGAGATTCGAGTAGCCCAATCAGTCAATTTTTTTTTCATTATTCACCAGTCTGACATCATCTCTATTTATATAGATACTGTATTTTTGAACAATAGTATTCTCGTTTGTTTATAATTCATTTAGATTTATTATAAACAAGTCGTATTTGAAATTTATACTATTGTGCAAAAGCGAAGTACAATGACGTAAGTTTTAGTTTATACAAAATCATTTATGTGATATAAGTAAATCCAGATATATGTAAAATACACATACTATTTATTGAAATGGAAAGAGTTTGTAGTTAAATTTAATAATAAGATACATGTGGTTAATTTAATTTGAACAAACTTATGTACAACAATTACAATTGTATTGTATTGTATTAAGAAACTAGTTTTTTATATATTATATGTATTAAACCAAAAAATTTTTTCGTAAAATTTGCCTATTATTTATAATATCTTTAATTTTATATATGTTCTATATATATATATATATATATATATATATATATATATATATATTTGTCTATTATTTATGAACTTCTCATATTTAGTTCAACAGAGTGATAAAAAAATGCAAAAATCTCTCTAGACTTTTGATTCATACAGTTGAAATATAAATGCTTAAGTTTTGATAATTAACTTCCCGTAGGGTAAGTAAATTACAGTCAAAAATTACATTTTTGTTTATCTTTATGTTTTAAGGTCTTCTGAACATTTTGGCATACATTATAAAAAATTGTTGTATGTGTGTATACACACAGTGTGTATGTGTGCGGATACAAATTTTCGTCAACGATTTGGGGAACACGGTTCAACCGATTTGAATAATTCAAAAAACATTTGATTTATATTGATTAAGAGACGTGCTGATTAGTTTTTAGCAAAGGCAGGTCGAGCCGTTTTGAAGATACAAGGCAAAAAAATAAAAAAATGGTAATTGTTTTTTTGAGAGAACGAAACGTCCGATTCAAATGATTACAAAAACATTTTATTTGTATTGACAAAATGAAGAACTGATAACTGACTTTTGAGATGGCAGGTTTAGCGGTTTCCGAGATCCAATAAAGTGAAAAAATGTCATTTGGCTGACAAAATGATTATTAGACATATGCACAGCAAATTATCACATTTTATAGATATTTTAATTATAAGAACGAATTTTGTTTACTTGTCTATAGGTTCCGTACCAATGTTAATCCGTTATACTACGACGGGGCGCACGTGCTTCTATATTTTGTTTCTACGCAACCGATCGATATGAAAAAAAGTTCAAAATTTCTAAATTTCCAAAATATTTCAGAGTACAAAAAGAATAAAATCAAAAAGGTTCTTTTTTCAATAATTTTGAAAATATCAAAAATCGATTTTTTTCAGAGTTCTAAAATAAAATTGAATCTTTAAAAAAAAAAAATTAATGCGGGAAGTTCCAGCAATTTGCCTTAAGGCACGATGCCATGCACTACTAGTTTTTATTAAAATGCATATTTACTTAATTAATAATTTCCTTATATGATATGTATATATATATATATATATATATATATATATATATATACTAGATGACCAACAATCTGTATATAATATTATATATCATTTCTTGTTGATTAAAAATTTATTGAAAACGATCTCGTCCACTGTCATCTCTCGCAACTGTTATTTATATAACAGTTTTATAACTTTTAGTGTTAGACTAGATACATCGAAATGGCGCCAAATGGTATATGGCGCACACAAATTTTTCTCATTTTTTTTTCAAAATTTTTTTTCTAAAGCTCTTTTTCTGAATTTTTTTGGGAATTCTATTTTCTCCAAAAAAAATATTTTTTCCAAAACTTTTTTTCTTGAAATTTTTCCCAATTTTTTTTCCGAATTTTGTTTCCTAAATTTTTCCCCCCAAATTTTTTTTCCTTAATTGCTTTTACCCAAAATTTTTTTCCACACTTTTTACCCCCAAAATTTTTTTCCAAAAACTTTTTTATAAAAAAGACTATAGTTTTTTACCAAAAATTTTTTCTCTAAAACTATAGTCTATTTTCTATTTTATAGTCTAGTTTTTCCCAATTTTTCCCCAAATTTTTATCCTCAATTTTTTTCTGACCAAAATTTTTTTGTTCCAAAATTTTTTTGACCAAATTTTTTTTCGCAAATTTTTTTTGACCAAATTTTATTTTCCCGAAATTTTTTGGACCAAAATTTTTTTGAACAAAAATTTTTTTGAACAAAAATTTTTTTGTCCCAAAAATTTTTCTGACCAAAATTTTTTTGACCAAAAATTTTTTGGTCCAAAATTTTTTTGACCAAATTTTTTTCCTTAATTGTTTTTACCCAAAATTTTTTTCCACATATTTTACCCCCAAAATTTTTTTCCAAAAACTTGTTTATAAAAAAGACTATATCTATAGTTTTTCACCAAAAATTTTTTCTCTAAAACTATAGTCTATGGTTTTTCCCAATTTTTCCCCAAATTTATATCCTCAAAATTTTTCCCAAAAAATCAAAGACCAGATCCATGGTTTCTTCCCAAAATTTTTTTTTCCTAAAACTATAGTCCATGATTTTTCCACAATTTTTTTCCCCAAAATTTTTTTCCAAAAAAATGTTTTTCCCAAAATTTTTTTCCCTAATTTTTTTTTCCAAAAATTTTTTTTCCTCAAAATCATTTTCCAAAAAATCAAAGTTTAAAATTTTTTTCCCGAATTTTTTGTTCCTAAATTTTTTTCTCCAAAATTTTCTTCCCCAATTTTTTTTGTCCAAATTTTTTTTACAAAAAAATTTTTTCGCCAAAATTTTTTTTCCAAAATTTTTTTTTGACCAAAAATTTTTTTGACCAAATATTTTTTTGACTAAAATTTTTTTGACCAAAAATTTTTTGACCAAAATTTTTTTTGACTAAAATTTTTTTGACCAAAATTTTTCTGACCAAAATTTTTTTGACCAAAATTTTTTGGCCAAAATTTTTCTGACCTAAAATTTTTTTGTCCAAAAATTGTTTTGACCAAAATTTTTTTTTCCAAAATTTTATCCAAAAATCTTTTTGGATCAAAATTTTTTTGTCCAAAAATTTTTTGGTCCAAAATTTTTTTGACCAAATTTTTTTTTCCAAATTTTTCTGACCAAAATTATTTTGACCAAATATTTTTTGACCAAAATTTTTTTGACCAAAATTTTTTGGACCAAAATTTTTTTCTAAGATATTTTGGACCAAAATTTTTTTTCAAAAATTTTTTTGACCAAAATTTTTTTGACCAAAAATTTTTTTGACCAAAATTTTTTTTGACCAAAAATTTTTTTGACCAAAATTTTTTTTGACCAAAAATTTTTTTGACCAATTTTTTTTTTTCGAAAATTTGTTGGGTCAAAATTTTTTTGAATAAATTTTTTTTGACCAAATTTTTTTTGAACAAAAATTTTTTTGTCCAAAAATTTTTTTGTGACCAAAATTTTTTTGACCGAAATGTTTTATCCCAAAATTTTTTTCCTAAAATTTTTTTGACCAAATTTTTTTTGACCAAAAATTTTGACCAATTTTTTTTGTGACCAAAATTTTTTTGGCCAAAAATTTTTTTGACCAAAATTTTTTTTGACCAAAAATTTTTTTGACCAAAATTTTTTTTCGAAAATTTTTTTTCGAAAATTTTTTTTCGAAAATTTTTTTTCAAAAATTTTTTGGGCCAAAATTTTTTTGAACAAATTTTTTTTGACTAAAATTTTTTTGAACAAAAATTTTTTTGTCCAAAAATTTTTTTGACCAAAATTTGACCAAATTTTTTTGTGACCAAAATTTTTTTGACCAAAATGTTTTATCCCAAAATTTTTTTGACTAAAAATTTTTTTGGCCAAAAATTTTTTTGACCAAATTTTTTTGTGACCAAATTTTTTTTGGCCAAAAATTTTTTTGACCAAAATTGTTTTTGACCAAAAATTTTTTTGACCAAAATTTTTTTTCCAAAATTTTTTTTTGACCAAAAATTTTTTTGACCGAAATGTTTTATCCCAAAATTTTTTTCCTAAAATGTTTTATCCCAAAATTTTTTTCCTAAAATTTTTTTGACCAAAATTTTTTTGACCAAAAATTTTTTTGACCAAAATTTTTTTTGACCAAAAATTTTTTGACCAAATTTTTTTTTCGAAAATTTTTTGGGTCAAAAATTTTTTGAATAAATTTTTTTTGACCAAATTTTTTTTGAACAAAAATTTTTTTGTGACCAAAATTTTTTTGACCGAAATGTTTTATCCCAAAATTTTTTTCCTAAAATTTTTTTGACCAAATTTTTTTTGACCAAAAATTTTGACCAATTTTTTTTGTGACCAAAATTTTTTTGGCCAAAAATTTTTTTGACCAAAATTTTTTTTGACCAAAAATTTTTTTGACCAAAATTTTTTTGACCAAAATTTTTTTTCGAAAATTTTTTTTCGAAAATTTTTTTTCGAAAATTTTTTTTCGAAAATTTTTTTTCGAAAATTTTTTTTCAAAAATTTTTTTTCGAAAATTTTTTTTCAAAAATTTTTTGGGCCAAAATTTTTTTGAATAAATTTTTTTTGACTAAAATTTTTTTGAACAAAAATTTTTTTGACCAAAATTTTACCAAATTTTTTTTACCCAAAATTTTTTTCCCAAATTTTTTTTGACCCAAATTTTTTTGACCCAAATTTCTTTGACCAAATTTTTTTGACCCAAATTTTTTTGACCAAAATTTTTTTGACCAAAGTTTTCTGGGCCAAAATTTTTTGGACCAAATTTTTTTGGACCAAATTTTTTTTGACCAAAATTTTTTTGACCAAATTTTTTTTGACTAAAATTTTTTTGAACAAAAATTTTTTTGTCCAAAAATTTTTTTGACCAAAATTTTTTTCCAAAAATTTTTTTGACCAAAATTTTTTTGGTAAAAA